AGAGTGATATGGGAAGCAGCTATGCCCATAAGCCTAACGAAGTGCTAGTACTTCCCAGTGCATCGTGCATCCACCATGATGTTGCCTATCATTTCGGCATATATCTTGCAAGCAGTGTCGAATCCGAAACTAATTGGCACTTCCGGGGACTTCAAATCCCCGTCAATAGTCTTTGGGCACCCGATGACATGGGTCCTCACCTTCTTTGCCCTAAAGTGCTCACCCAGAAGAGCCGCATTCGTGTTGGAGTCATCGCCTCCGATTACCACCAGACCATCCAAGTCCAACTTCGTCACGGTATCCACAGCCTGCTGGAACTGCTCGGGAGACTCAATCTTATCCCTCCCACTGCATATAATGTCGAACCCTCCCTGGTTCCTGTATGGGTATAGGAAGTCGGCGGTAATCTCCACCACATTGTTTCGCATGATCCCAGCCGGACCACCCTTGAATCCATACAAGACACTCCCGGGGGCGTGCGTCTGGAGATAATCGAAGAAACCTGCAATCACATTGTGGCCCCCAGGAGCTTGCCCGCCAGACAACACCACCCCAACCTTCAGCTTCTGGTCCACGTTGTATGTCGGAGCGTCGCTTTCCACGAGCTGCACTGAGGGTTGTCCATACAGGCAGGGGAATAGCTTCTGGATCTCCTCAGGTTGCCCCGCCGCAGTCGTGGGAGGCCCATGATTAAGCTTGAAATTTCCCTGCAACACAGCAGGCAACGTTGGCGTATGATCAATCCGACTCAACTGCACAGGGCTGTACACAGACTTGTCCCTCACAGCATCTTTCTTCACCGCCGCGACCTCCTGGGCATTGGCTTGCGATGTAACTGCCATGTCCACCCAAGTCGGACAAACAATCGTAGTACTTCCACACACTCAAAAAACCCCACAAGATCAATCGAAAAATGCTACCAAAGCCAATGACAAACAAGAAACCAAATAGCCAGATATGTGAGGCAACGTCACTTGGAGAAACCTGACCCCAATCGAAGAATATCTTTGTAAGGAAATCAGACTCTGATTGGATGAGAGACACAGCGAGCATCTGCAGAGATGGATGCACAGATGGCACTGTCGTCTTGATCACTTCGCTCAAACTCTGGGTCTGCAAACTCCTGCTCTGAGAGCCCAATTTCACAGATACCTCGTTTTCCGGGTTCGGTATTTCCGATGTTACGGATATTGGACCCATTTTAATAAATTCGAATTCCAATTTGGATATCTGGACCCCACATCAGCACGAAACCATGCTCGAGAGTAGTTGTATCATGGGGCTTAAGCTTCTCAACACCCACAATCCTACTCAATCTAACGAAGAACGGGAGGGAGAATATCTAATCCCACACCCGCTGCTCTTACGTCATTGCCAAATACGGCGCAATATTGTAGAATGAACGGACCGAGGTGAGGAATGAAGATGAAGGAGGGATCACAAAACAGGCGATTCTGGTCGAAAATGGACCGTTCTGCCCATCTGTTAGGCTGCGCTCCGCAACATCCCGCTGTGATATCCCCCGCCTTCTAATGATGGGAATGGTTGTCACAAAATCATGATGTCATTATCTATTGTATCTAATCAATCAAAATTATTTTTTACCAAGATGTTACTTTTAATTAAAAATCATGTTACATACCAAACATATTATAAAGTGAGAGAAATTGTCATTTATCAATACCTTTGGTGTCTATTGATTGATGTTTAATATTCCTAAATATTTTAATTCATAATAACAAAAACTATTTGTATTTTTAAAAAAATGTATTTTAAGAGCATTATAATCAAGAGGATTGTGAAAGGTCATGGCTATGGTTGAAAGAGTTTAGAAAAAGGCCATAGCTATGGTTGAAGGATGTTATGTAGATAGAATTATGGTAGGCATAGAGACATCCATTGTTGAAGAAGATGTTCAAGGAATATATGGATAAGGCCATAAGTTGAAGTAGATAGTCAAGCCAGATGTAGTGTGACATGAACAAGATAACATGGCAAAGGCTCTTTTCTTCCTACTAACCATAAAAATTTGCACTAATGGAACAAAAAGCCTACTATTGAATATTATAATTATTTTTTTATCACTATAATTATCATCCATTTACTAATACTTTGTTAATCTTGATTTAACATTGCAAAAATAAGAATTTATTTGTGAATTTTAACTTGATTATTTTTGCTAAGACCTTAATTAAGTTGATAAGTAGAACTTGCCCTTCTACCACTCATTATATGCAACTTGATTAAAAAGAAACCTATGAGCTATTTTGAGAGCCCAAAGTTGTACAATCTAAATTGCAAAGACAACTAACCATTCTTTACAAGAATCATTTTAGTTTTTTTTTTAATTTAAAAATTGTGAAATTGATGGCATTTATCTTATTGAATATTTATCTTAAAAAAAAAAATTTACCTAGAAACGTATAAAATCAATTGATTTTTTTAAAAAAATTTATTTAATAATAAACTAGTTAGCTAGTGATTTAACACTACTGATATAATATTATTAAGAATCCTCTAAAAAAAATTTGAATTAAAATTTGATAATAAGATTTTTTTTTTTAACTTGGACATTCTTTTATTCTTTTTAATTAAATTGAAAAAGAAGTATAGGAAGAATATTAAAAAAACTAGGTTATAAGAAAGAATAAAAAAAACTATCTATTAACTTAGAAAAAAAATAATTAAAACTTATCTTATGATAATTATTATTCTTTATTAATTTTATGCTTGACCTATTATATATATTTGGACTAATGTCTTATAGGACCAAAAAAATATTAATATGATATTATTCTATATAAATTTCAGTTCAAAAAATATATAGAACTCAAATAAAAAGAAGTACTTTCTTTCTTTATTATCAATCTATTCTTTTAAAGACTCTAGCTTTAATTCTAGCTATTAGTTTCAATAAAAATAGCCATCTTTTTACAACTTTATTTCTTAATTATTAAAAAAACATCTTATAATTTTTTAATATGAAAAAAATTTGATAAAATTTAATCCTTTAATATTAAAAATTACTCTAAATTTAGGATATCTAAACAATAAGGATGTAAATCTAATTTTTATTTGACTTATTATCAAAATTTGATCATATTTTAAATTTTTTAATTCTTGATTTATTATTTATTTTACTTAAATAAGCTTGTATATAGTAATTTTTTTATTAAAATTAATAAAATCAAGAGAATTTTTAGATGAAATTTAAGACCTTTTAATAATATATTATAAATTTGTACTCTTGTCTAATTAGATGTTGATTTTAAACCAATGGATAGGAAAAATAATAGAAGATTTTAAGAGTTAGATAGAAAGTCCATTATTTTCTAATAATTATATTTTATATTTTTATTTATTATTTTTTAAATTTTATCATTCTTAATTTTCTAAAAGTATCTTTTTTATTAAAAAAATTTCTTAGATTTACATCTATATCCTATTTTTATTTATATTTATTTATATTTATATATATTAATTATTTATATATATATATATATAATTATATAAAATATTAATTTATTTACTATAATAATCAATAATGTCAATTTTTTTAATATTATATAAGAAGTTTATATATTAAAATTAGAAATAATGTCAAGTTTAAGATTTTTTAAAAATTTAAGGTAATTGAAGATATAAGGTTGTCTAATTTATTTAATTATAATAACAAATTTAATCAATATATAACTTCTATGGCTATTAAAGATGTAAGGGTGTTTGAATCATTAAGCAATGATGTTTAACTTAAGCACCATTATATACATGAGATTGTCAAAGATGTGAGATTATCTAATTTATTTGGCAATAATGACAAGATTGAATACCACCCCAAATTTAAGGTGGTTAAAGATACAAGGTTGCTCAATTCATTTGGCAATTATATTAAGATTGAATACTTTTTTGTATCTATAGTAGTCAAATATTTCAAATCATTTATAAATATTTTGCCAATAATGCCAAATTTAAGCACAATTTTATATGTAAGGTTGTATAAGATCTAAAGTTTTATAATTTAATTAAAAATGATAAAAAGTTTTAATACTTTTATACAACTAACTTAACTAATAAAGTGATATAATCTAATACATTTGGTAATGATATCAAACTTCAATTTTTATATGTATATATAGGATAGTCAAAGATGTGACATTGTTTAATTTATTTAGTAATAATATTAAATTTAAGTACCTTAATATATTTAAAATAGTCAAAGATATGAAGTTGTCTAAATTTTTTGATAATGATATCAAACTTTTGCAATACCTTATATTTAAGATAGTCAAAGATGTAAAGTTATTTAATTCATTTAATAATGATGTTAATCTTGAGTATTTCTATATATTAAAGGTAGTTAAAGATGTAAAATTTTCCAAATCATTTGATAATAATTTCAAGCTTGAGGATCTTAACAAATTTAAAGTACTTTAAAATGTAAAGATATCTAATTCATTTGGCAATAATATCAACCTTAAACATTCCTCTATATCTAAAGTAATCAAAGATGTGAGATTGCACAAGTCATTTAATAATGATATTAGATTGAATATCTATATATATCTAAGGTGGTAAAAAATAAGATGTTTTTTTAACTTATTTGGTGATGATGTAAAGCTTGAACATCTTCACATTTCAAAAGAAGTTAAAAATATGAGATTGTGCAATTTATTTGGCAATGATATTAAGTGAAAGGATTCACTTATTGTGAAGGTAGTCAAAGATATAAGATTACCTAATTTATTTGGCAATAATGTCAAGCTCAAGTATTTACATACATCCAAAGTAATTAAAGATATGACATTGCTTAAATCACTCTACAATAATATTAACCTTAGATTTGCAAACATATTAAGATTTTTTAAAACAAGAGGACGACTAATTTATTTTTTCAAGGTTAAAAAAAAAAAAAAACCATTAAAATTGAGTTTTTTTAATGATATTAGATACCTTATTTTATCTAATATTTTGATCAACTTTAAATATAATTTAAGATAAAATTCTAATAATATACCTATTTTAAAGAATAATTCTAAAAATTACTATATATAAATATATTTTTAAAATTTCAAGATATTAAAAGCCTTAAGTTTTTTTCTAAAATATTTATGATTTAACATATGAAATGCATTCTCTAATACTTCTAAAATATTATCCTTAATTAATAGTTTTTATATATAATATTTTTAATAAAAAAAATTATTAATCTAAAAATATATCTAGTATTTTTATAATATTTCTTGATGTGATATCATAATTATTATAATTCAAGAATCAAAATATTATAAGACAAGAATTTTTAATTTTATCAATTTATTTACTAGTATTATTGAAATATAATATTTTTATCTATAAAATAACATAATATTTTTTTTATAATTTTTTATTAGTTATTTATTTTATATAGATATATTTTTTTATAAAAATATAAAAAAATTAATATTTAAAAAGAATTGTATCAATATACTTTTAAAATTTATGATAATATATAAATAATATTAAAAATATTACATCTTTAATTATCAAATATTAATTCATTTCGTAATTATTATTAATTCTATATAAATTATATATATATATATATTAAAATTTTTATTATATTATTTTATATTTATTTTTTAAATTTAGATATAATAATATCTTATTTGAGTTTCAATAATCTTTTTATTCATATCTTTTAATTAATCATGTTTTGAAGAATAAGAACTTGATGAATGTAAATAAATAAATGAGATTTTTTTTATAGAAAGATCAAAAAATAGAAATAAAAAAGTATATATATTCAAAAAGAAACTAGAATTGCTATTGCCAAAAGACAAAAAAAACTAGAGATCCTTAAAACTAGACTAGAAGTAAGAAAAAAATTGACTAGAATAAAGAAGGCTTCACTCTTATCTTTATACATACTATCTAACTAAGAGCTACATTGCAACATTCTATAGGACCTCAAACATGTGTTTAATTTATTAGATACATGTCTTAACTTGCAAGGCAAGTTTCAA